GACCGGCCGTGGGCAGCAGCGTGACCCAGCGCTGGGACATCAGCCCCAGCCAGAGACACACCGTCGTCAGCAGGACAGGCCCTGAAAGTCTCCGTGTTTTGTTGAGGGGGGAGAGGGTTGTAAAGACGGCGTCTGTTGTGTTCCTGGGGAGGGGCAAGTTGCAGATGCTTCCTTCGCAGCAGGAGGTGCAGATCTGGAAGAAACCACGTTATAACTTGGTTATTTATATAATTTGGTTACATGCCCCATCCCTGGGAGTGTCCAAGGCCAGGCTGGATGAGGCTTGGGGCGACCTGGGGCAGGGGGTGGGGGTGTCGGGGGTTGGAACTCCATGATCTTTAAGGTTCCTTCATTACAGAAATTCAGAGCAACAAGACTTAACCCACCTGAGGCCAAGAGAACGTAAAATCACGTGCAAAACAGAGATGCGGCTGCAGCGTGCCCGGCAGCTCAGCAAGCTCTTTTTTATCTCAACCTGTTGGGGAAGTTCAATAAAGGCCAACTATTGACCTGCAGAAAACTCATTTATAAATTACTGTTTGGTTCAGATGCAGAACGTTTGCTCCAAAGGTTTCGGGGCTTTCCTCTGCCTGTTGCAGTAGGGAAACCACGAGACGGCTGGCGAGCATCCGTTGCGGAGCGGTGGGGACCGAACAGGGCGCAGTTCTGCAGGCAAAGCACTCCTCAAGGGAGTGGTTTGCTCTCCTGAGCTGCTGGCAGCGCAGTTATTTAAAGAGATTATTCTTTTGTTTTAGGAGAGGTTATTCCTTTGTTTCTGTAACAAATGAGCTGGAGCTCATTAAGCAGAGAAGCTTCATTTTTGACAATGCTGATTCACACACTGAACCAAACCAGTCTGACTTCTGGTGGAGGCCAGAAGGGTTCTGCCCAGTTTTCTCAGGAGAAAAAGGGCAGTTTTTATCCTATACCTTGTATCCTTCGTGCCGGACATAGGTGCATCCCGTAGACAGGCAGTCCTCCAACGGTACGCAGCGTTTGGTGACGGACACACTCTCTCCAGTAATTCTCATCGTGTGTTGGCTAAAGCAGTATCTCGTACCTAGAAGGACAGAAACATGTGTTTGCCTGTCAAATTCAAGTTTTGTGATAGTCTACAAATAGGAAGAAAGAGGAAAAAAGCCCTGGATTTTTTTTTTGACATCCTGGGATTTCAGAAGAAAAATACTGTTTTGATGTATTTATTGCAATACGTAGATGTCACTAAATACACACACCCACACCGCAAACTCTGGCACAAACGTGAGGTTTCAAAGCACCCTGGAACGTGGAAATTTGCTCCCAGTACTGATGTGGGGCTCTGTGTTACAGGTGGAGAAACGAACGCTGGCTGACCGAGTTCTGGGGGGCAGTTCAGAGAAACACCCCAAACCCTCTGCACAATTAGTTTTATAGGAATTGCCTTGAAAACCAGAAAACATTCACAATACCTCTTTATGCCTGAAGCTAACTTTCGTTTGTGTACGTTTGATTTTTTCCTACCTTCAGGTGCAACCATTAGCTCTGTAGAATCACACATTCGAGATGCTTTTCCCTATATCCCAACAGCCTGTGCAAGCTGTCCTCCTGCCTCGCGCTCCGATCCCAGCTCTCCCGCAGCTGCAGAGCCCAGAGAAGGTCCTTCACCCTCTCTGTCCCTCGGTTTTATCATCTATAATGCCAAAATACCAGCAGAACAGTTGGGAGGATTTCTGTATTTCTCAGTTTCCTGGTCTTTGGGAAAAAACACCACGAAACGGACTGTCTCTCCCATATTCCCATCGCATCTTCTGAACGCTTCTCCCGTGGGCTCCCTCATCCCCAGGGGAGGCCAGCCTCCTCCTCCTTTCTTGACTGGCAAATGCTGTGGTTACCCTCAGGCTGAAAGGAATTCGGGTTTATTTCATGCTTTAGTCGTCAGAGGGAAGTTGAAGGTGCTGTTCTCCTTCTTACCCCTCCAAGGTGAAAACACCTGATTGTCAACACAGGAAACATGCCATTATATGTTCCTCCTCTAATTTATACCTTGCTTCTTATTAATCAACCTTATTATTAATAACATTGTTACTTTCACAGGGGAAAAAAAGCAGTATAATTAATTTAAAGGGAACATTCCTGTTCAGCCCTGGTCTCTGAGAGGCAAAGCCCTGCACACTCCTCATGCTCCAGGCATCCAGCAACAGCCGAGCGAGGTCGCCGACTGAACACGTTACTCCTTGGGCAATAAACCCCCCAGACATCCGTCATCTGTGACCGGCCCTTCAGTGCCGTATCCCCAGCAAACAGACTTCTCACCGGAGGCTGGAGATGCGGGGTGTGCTGCCTTCCTTCAAACCGGCCAGGGATGCAGCTGTTGATGTTTTCCAGGCTCTCCTGCCCTGGGGACCGGGGGTTTTACCCCAAGGGGAGCTCCCTGCATGGCAGCTTTGAGCTCCTCCCGGCTCCGTGCCTGGCAGTGCCATTCCCCAGCAGATCTGGGTGTGCAGCACTGGGGCTTATTTCTCCCCCGACAGGTCCCAGGTGGAACAAATAAAGCTTCTAGCACCCCATAACTGTTTCGTTCTTTCTTCCAAGTGTGTTTTTAGAAAATACCGTGCAATCATCTTGGAGATAGGTATTTTCCCCAGGCACTGAGCATGCCTTTCCTCATACAGCTGCCACTGGTGGCTGTCATCTCCTGCAAGGCAGGGCTGCCCCTATGGGCTAAGTCCACAACAAACAACAAAATCCACTCGCTCAGATTAATACTAACTTTTGCACTGCATTCTGCTCTGCCTCCCTTCTCAGAGCAGGCAAAGCACACTGATGGCAGGCGCTATGAGAAGGATTGGGGCAGCGGGCACTGGGAGAGCCCAGAGCAACGGAGAAGTGGGGAACATGGAATGGTTGGGGTGGGAAGGGACCTTAAAGCCCACCCAGTGCCACCCCCTGCCATGGGCAGGGACACCTTCCACTAGACCAGGTTGTTCCAAGCCTCATCCAGCCTGGCCTTGGACACTCCCAGGGATGGGGCATCCACAGCTTCTCTGGGCAACCTGTCCCAGTGCCTCCCCACCCTCTCTGGGAAGAATTCCTTCCTGATGTCCCATCTCCATCTCCCTCTTTCCATTTAAACCTCTAACCCCTTGTCCTGTCACTCCCTGCCCTTGGAAAAGGTCCCCCCTCCCAGCTTTCTGATGGCTGTTACTAAAGGCAGATCTTGGCGTCGCACCTCTCTCCTTGCACAGCGACCCACAGGTAACCCTGTCCTTAGTCACTGAAATACCACCTTCTCCTGTCAAAACAGGGAGTGTCCATGAACACTGCTCTCATCTGATGCCAGCCAGCCTGATCTCTTTTATCGTCATTGTGCTGATTTGAGCTCAAAGCAAACGAGTTCTCAGACAGATAACGCGCTGACACAGGCTGCAAACACAGCTGGTTCATCCCTGCAGTGCAGGTTATGGCCTTTCTCTTTCCAAAATAAATATTTTCTGAAGGCACATGTCCCGCAACAGACCACAGACATTCCGGATAGATGCTGTCCAGCGCTGCCGAGCCGACAGAACGCACCGGGGGAGCGCTGAGCCCCGGCAGCATCCCTCTGCCCGCTCAGCCCCGGCTGCCGCGGAGGCTGCCTCCTGCCCACACGTGGTTCCCACACCGGTGAGGACACAGTCCACATCCAACCCGTGTCCAGGGATTTGTCAGGGACTGCAGACAATCCTAATGCATTGTGAGCATCACAAAAAGAGAAGTGGTAAGGGAGCGGGAGATCTGGGGATCTCGCTGATACCTGGATCTGATATTTGGGTGCCTGTATCCCAAAGCCCTTTCTGAGCTGTTCCCAGCTTCAAACTCTGATGGGAGTTATGAGCCCCAAACACTGAAAATACCTTGATGCCAGACGAAAAGAGGCCGTCTCGGCTGCCCTGAAGCCACAGGGGAGGGAAGCACACAAAACAAGAACCGGTCCTGTACTCACCAGTAAGAGAAATACAACCCTTAAATGAACGCCAGCCTGATTTAATTTCCAGCTGAGCTAGAGGAGTATGGGGAGTAGATGAAAGCCCTAAACTTCACCCGCCGCAAAGACACAGAAAAGCTTAAGGGATTAGTCCTATCGCTTACACATCTTTCTTGCTGAGGAGGCTTACAAGCGGGAGCAGCGATCACCAGCATCCGAGTACGCCTAAGGAGTAACGGGGGCTCAGCGCTGTCCCTGCGCTGGGGACAGGCAAGCGGTCGTCGTAAGGTGGGTTTAAGATAAACGCTAGCAGGCAGCTGGTTACCTCTTGGACAATAGACATCCGGAGCCCATCGGTTGCATTCGTAATTATCCGCTGCCTTTTCGCAGGTGAAACATTTAAATCCGTGAGGATACGGTGTGGCTGAAAGGAATGGACAATATTCAGTTAAAATGAGCCGCTTAATCCGGTTCTGCTGTGCTTTTCAGAGGCACACAGCAGCATTTGTTCTCTTTAGACATCTTTCTACAAGTATAGTTGTCAGCTTCATCGTGGTGGTCCCGATTTGGAAAAATCCTATCACCGCCAGCCGTGTGAGAAAGGCACATACAGACACAGTAAGGACCCAGTTCAACCCTGTTTCCCCAGTAAAAGGCCCACTGCCGACTTCAGAGGGAGTTAATGCAAGCAACGAGCACTTATTCTCTCGGTATCAGCGCTCACATCCAATAGAGTGCTGATAACAAAACACCAGATGGATTCAAATGCTTCTGGAAACTCCCACCGAGGAAACGAGCAGCCTCTTTGGAAGGCAGGCTGATGTTTCCAAAGGAAGGAAAAATCAATTTGCTGAACCTCCAGGCTTAACAGCAGGCTCCGTCCTAATTTGTCTCGCCAAACGAAGAGCGTAGCTCCTTAAGTGGTCTCCTGGCAGGGTTCTGTGACACATCCAGTGCATCCTCAAGATGCTGCCACCTTCTCAGAAGCCAAATTGGTGAATGAGTCACGTTTATCACCACGGGGCAAAGTCAGCTGAACCTGTGTAGGTCTCACCTCTCCCTCCTCTTCACCTCCTCCCCTTGCCCACCGACTCCGGGCCAGACCCCATTTGAGTCCCCGAGGTGAAGCAAGAGCCATTCACTGCTTGTTTCCCCAGGCCTCTCCAGGTAAGGGCCGGCAAGTCACACAGAAGCATCTCTGGTGGGGCTGGCACTGCCCGTGGGGACAACACAACAGCACTAACTAATTTCACCCCTCTCGCCCCAGACCTCTAGCAGGTCTTGGTTCCGGCATAAAATGGGAATTTCTTCTTGCTTGCATAAAATTTTCAGCCAATTTTGGAAAGGCGGTGAGTTTTCTCTGGGAATAGACGGCTGGCACAGCCCTGCAAGTGCCCTCTTCTAGAATTAAATGAGTTTGTGTCTGATAAAGTGAACAGACTAGCAAAAGGTGGCCCTGTGGAAGATCTGAAGATGCTATAGCATTGCTTCAGGGAGTTACTGAAAAAAGCCAGGAACCGTCGGTGCCGCAGCCGCAAATGGTTGCCTTTGGCCTTTGCTATCGATGTGCTCAAGCAAGCCATGGGGCCTGATCTTATGGCCAGAGCGATTTCAGAAGAGCAGAAAATAGCAAACAAAAAGCCACTGATACGCTCAGCAACTGCCTGTAACACTATCTGTCCTTTAATCCCTTCAGGAAGCAGCAGACTGGTTTTATATCAGCTAGTTTTGTCAGTACTGGGGATGTTTATGCAATCTTTGCTCAGCGCTCAGCTCAACCCTGGTGTTTCTGCTGCCCTAACACACATTCGCCCTTGTCCTCACCCCCACGCCGTGGCTTTGCAACCCGCGCCAAGGTGGCTTACTGGAAGGGTGGAGGTAGACGATGTCCTTCACGGTGAAGTCGCGGGGCCGGACGGTGGGCAGGCAGCCGGCTAGCAGGCTGAGCAGCAGCACCCACGCCGGCGTGGGCGGCGAGGCCATCGCCGGGGGAAGCCGTACTCATGCGGTGGGCGAAAAACCTCACCTGGGCAACAGCAGAGAACAGGGGTGAGCAGACTAAACCCGTCAGGAGCCCGGCCACCACCTTGGCCCCCCGCAACCCAACCTCCCCAAGCCCACGACGCTGCCATGAACCTTCAGCTGCCCTCCCGCAGGGGCAGGCAGCGGTGTGGTTGCTTTGGCTGGGCGTCAGTGACATCCCTGGCACCACCCAGGAAAAGGACTCTGGCACACTCGCTCCCAGAGAGCTGTGAATGGGAGCCGAGGGGAAGGGTTGCTGCATTTGTGATCCTTTACAATTTAACCGGTTGGTGACCGGTTTTCAAAAACCTCAGTAGGATGTTGATGGTCAGAGACTGCACTGCGATGGGATTTAACTGCTTCTTTTAGAGAATACTGGAAAAGTGCAGAATTAGACCCGGAAGAAAGGAAACAAGGTAGCTGGAGACCTGTCAGGATGCTCGGGGGAGCAGTGATGGGTCTCCCATACTCTTAAAAAATGCACCTTTCAGGCAAACCAGCAGCTCTACATTATTTTCCACACATCTCACGAAAGGCGAGGAGCACCAGCTGCTGCAGGTTGTATGTACCTGCAGCTGGCTGCTGCTAATAACATGAAGTGATTATTGCATTTTCCACTCCAAAGGGTCTAATTCCCTCTGTGACAAGCTATGCAGAGTATTTTTCCTATGTCCCTGAATGAAGGGAACTAATTTAATCAGAAATAAACACTCGCTGCGGTACCATTCGTGAAGCCATCCCAAAAGCCAGCAGCTTTCAGGAGCATCCCAATCCCTGCACCCAGACTGTGAGGAGCCCTCCAGTAACAGACAACATTGATGTATCATTAAATACACAGCTCATATTATTACAGTTCCTTAAAAAATATGAAAATGTGCCTTGGAAACCAAGCAGGACAGGAAAGCCCCAAGAGGATGCGGCTGCTGAGCCAGGCAGGAGCCACTGATTTCCTCTGGCCACTGGCATCCATCCAGCACACACATGGTTGGGGTTTTTCCCCGCCCCAGCCCCAGACTGACCAAATCTGCAATACCCAGATATTTCCTAAGCAACTCTGAAAGCATCGCAGCTATTATTTAATAAACCATTTTATTTTGGGTTTTTTTTTTTTTTTTCAGGAAAGATGTTCCAGGGCAGGGACGTAACCTTCCACCTCTGCCTCCAAATGTTTGTCTCGCAGCGGAGGCCCACACAGGACTAGCAGCACGATGGCTGTCAGGGGGGGGCTGTCGTTATCCTTGGCTCTTATCTGAAAACAGCCCTTTAATTAAAACACCATGAAATCCATAAAAATAGTGAGGGAAACTGATAACACGTAGTGCGGTACGTTCAACTTTGTTGGTTTAACCTTATGAAGAGGGAAATGCCGATTTCCATTGGGTTTACTCCACAGATGTGTATCGGCCAGGGGAAAGTGAAATCCTGGTTAGAAGCAGAAAGGAAACAAAACAAGCCTCTCCCAGCCACCTGAAAGACAAAAGAAATGGGACCAGCGGCCCTCTGTGGGGTCTGGAGGAAGAGCCCCCAACAAAGCCAGCTGGAGCCCACCTTGGCAAGGGAGCAGGGCACCTGGATTCAGGACTATTCTCATTTTGGAGTTCCTCACACACATGGATGTGGAGCTGAGCTGGCCAGATGCAGATGCTGTCCTGATGCTCCTGAGCCGAAGACAGCAAGAGCCATCAGCTGCACAACCAACAGGCCCAGGTAGACACGCTCCAGTGCTCCTGGGGCACGTATCCCTACGTAAGGCAAGTCCCACGCAATGCTCAGCGCGAGGAAGCAAGACTCCTGAGCTGAGACTCTCCTCTCCTGCGCAAGAAGAGACCCAGACATCACCACATATGCATCAGCCTCTCCGCTCACGGCTTGACCAGAGCCACAGCTGGGTTTTCACATGTAGAAATTGTTTTATATTCACAGAATCACAGACTGGTTTGGGTAGGAAGGGAGCTTAAAGCCCACCCAGTGCCACCCCCTGCCATGGGCAGGGACACCTTCCATAGCCCAGGGTGCTCCCAGCCTCATCCAGCCTGGCCTTGGACACTCCCAGGGATGGGGCATCCACAGCTTCTCTGGGCAACCTGTCCCAGTGCTCCCCACCCTCTCCGGGAAGAATTTCTTCCTGATATCTAATGTAACCCTCCCCACTACTCATACTGTTAAGATAATGAAGGTTTGGAGGAGAGAGGGATTTTTGGATTCTTTTTCATCCCAAAGAAAACAAGGCAGTTTTAAATAATTCGTTGGATTTTTCTTCATAATCACAAAAAGCACTTGTATTTACAGTACCAATCCAAGTCTTGCAGCTGACAACACTAGTTCTCCCTCTATCGTACACCCTCCCTTTCATGGGACCAAATGCTTATTCAGCCAGTCTCCAAACGCCTGTATGTGTCTGTCAATACTTGCCATGTCGTCAGATTCAGAAGACAAGTGGCTGTTAGTCCCGCGTGAAAGGGTGGCAGAAATCCTCCAGCTGCACGCTAAAAATACTCACATCACGCCTCCTGTAATTACAAGTAGCTTAATTGCCAACACCACTTCTAATGAGCTGCAAGAACGACGAATGAATATAGAGAATTCACTTCTCCACCTCTATTTTATATGTCTGAAACAGATTTAATTTTAGGTAAGGAATTAAAAATTAAAAAAACCCCTCTGTGTTATAAAACGACCCTGAGCAGACCAGAGCAAGGCCAGCCTGAACCATGGCAGTTACTTAAGGAGAAGGTACGTATGGAACAAAACATCTGCCACCCATGTAGTCCCTAGTACACTATATAGAGAGTATAAAAATAGACACTTTTGTGTACATAGAAGTAGCTACTGTCAGAAACCGGAATACTCAACATTTCACAGGTACTTTGAGTACGTACACATGGCTACACATAGTTCTGTCTTTCACAGAGGGCAAAATACACGAGTGACTATGCCACATCTGACTGAAAAAAAGTATTTGCTGATGTTCAAGGTAATGCTGATGTTTCACACAGTGGAATATCCACAACGATTTTGAGGAAAATCAAACATATTCAATAATTACTATTCAGCACACTCATTCTCTCTGGTTTTACACCCACACATAAAAAATCACTCTTCTGGTTTTAAAGGAAAGATAAATATGTGGAGGCAACTGTCTTAAAACCTGCAGACATTGGACAAAAAATGGTTTTCAGTTCACTTTTTCCCCCAGAAAAAATCTTCAGAACTTATATTTTTCTGCAAAGGTCCATTGGACAAAAAGTGGTTTTCAGTTCACTTTTTTCCCCCCAGAACTTATATTTTTCTGCAAAGGTGGCTTCTCTCCATGGTCTCTACATGCCCTAAGAAGCTTCATCAAGGGCATGGAGGCTTTTTCTTTTGCTCACAAGCTCCCTTCAGTTTATGGCTTTCAGCCAAAACCACCAAACATTGCACAAAAATAGTTCTTTCAAAGAGCTGTTGCTGAGATAGCCGCTGCTACAGTGCTAAACCTCGCAGGGCAGACTTGTCCCTCCGGTGTACGGGCACACATCTTTTTCCTTCCGAATTTAATCGGCTCCTTTCCAGACGTAGTAGCCTCTCGGGCAGTGCAGCGTGCATGCACCGACCTAATAGGAAATGGCATGGCCTGCTCTGGGTCTGATACCGGACTGCAGTTAGGGGAAATAGTCACACGGTATTTAGATCATGCAGTCTGTTTACAAAAGGTCTTGGGCGCTGACACAGGAATCCTAGTTAACTCAATCTTTCCAGCTTCACCAGCACCTTTCAGACGGAAAGGCATCCCCATCCCCGCTCTGCAGCAGGATTACTTCTTCCTGCCCTTTGCCCTGACACGGCTCTATGGAAATTAACCATTCAATCCCCTAAGCAGCAGCCCAATTGCCCATTTGTCAGGTCTCATTAGGGTGGCGACATCTCGTCCTCACTGTCACCAGCGCCAGGGACAATGGAAGGTCCCTGTCCTCCAAGGAAGGACTGGGGAGACCCTCAAGCAGAGGCACTGCTGAACATCAGACCGGTTCTGGGGGAGACGTGTTGTTGGAGACGACAGTTGTTTGTGAGGATGTATTTGTCCTTCCTGTCCCTCTCACAAGCTCAGCAGATACCTGCTATCTGGCCGTGAGCGAAGGCCACTAGCCGGGCTGCTGCCAGCTGCAAGGCTGCAGCAAACGTGGCAGCATTTCAGGAAATGGAAAAAAAAAAGTCAGACACCAAATCTTCCCATACAAACGCTTGGCCAAAGCCAGGCATGAAGGAATTTTGGGTTTGTGGGCATTTCTGTGGTTCTCCTTCTTGTGCGAGTACGGCACACGCTGCAGTCGTCAGTGCTGCTCCACCTCCCTCCCACGGGAGAGGAGGTATTGCCATGCTCTTCACAGACCCATAGACTGGGTTGGAAGGGACCTTAAAGATCATCTACTTCCAACGCCCTGCCATGGGCAGGGACACCTTCCACTAGTCTACACACCTCTCACTTCTTCCAGGACGTCTGATGCAGATGGAGTTTGCCACCACACAGGAGGTTTATGGTTCTGGTGACAGCTCGGGTCCACCTTCCTCCTCCATCTCCTCCTTGCTGGCTGGGCCCCATCTCCAAGTTTTATACCTTACTGCCTCGTTTTGTCTTGAAGACATTTTCTCTTACCTCTTCATCTGGAAGAGCCTCGGTCTCAGTGCCCTAAAGCAACGCTTCCTTCGGATAAATAAAGTTGCAAAAGCAAATAGAAGCTCCCTTCTCAGTAGGCAGTAGACATCAGTCCTAAAGTATCAAGCACAACATGCCAAAGCAGCAACATCTGTGAGAAACTGCAGAAACCACAGCCCTAGTAATTTGTTCTAGCAAATTCCATTGTGCAAGGTCAGCTGGACCATCCTTGTTATGTTATGATGTTTCTTCAGCAATGATAAAGCCAGTCAAAGGAGCTACGACCAGTGCAACCATGCTGGAAGACCTTTCCTTGGATGCAAAGTCT